TTTTTTTTTTTCATTTTTTTTTTTATTTCTTTCTTTTTTTTTTTTTTTTTTTTTTTTTTTTTTTTTTTTTTGTGGTACTGGGTATCAAACTTAGGACCTTGCGCTTGCAACTGAGCTAAATCTCTCTGGCCCTTCTTCATTCTCTTTTAATAGTGTACCTAGAATACTCCTTAGTTTGTGGTGAACACAAGTAAAATGTGATCAATCTTGGTAGTTTCTATCCCAGTGCTCCCATAGTCTGTCTTATATCCATTTTGTCCTTGTCCTATTCTATTTCAGATTCAGTCTTAGATCCAGCGTTCTGCTCATCTTTTCTATTTCTTTAATTTATCTGCCTCTCCAAAATCTGGGGAACTGGAATTTTTCCCTAAAAACTCATGTGCCTTTATTAGCTTAGTGTTCTGAGTTATCAAGGAAAGATCTTGTTTCAAAGTGAGTTTACCATCTTTCCAGATATGTTAGAATTCTCAGGTTTTCTGATTTATCTTACCTATAATATGCACAAAATGCCAATCAGTATACTGGTTTGCTTTGGCATGTATTTTTTATTATCATAATGTTCTGTTTTTACTGAAGATCTTTATCTTACAATGAAAAAGAATATTGGACCATTTTAGTATAATCTGTAGATACATCTAGCTTTCTCAATAGTATATTTCAAAAATTAATGAAGAGAAACTTTTTAAAACAAGAGTTCCATTTGATTTTTAAGTAACAGAAATTGTAGCTACATTCGTTTGTAGCTACACCCAGCTTACAGAAACAGAAAAATGCATACTCTGATTATAATGAACCCAGTGACTTTACACAATGAGACTTTTAAATCTAAATCTCAGAGTCTAAATTCACAAATATAGAATGGACGCACTTTAGGAAATTTGTCCTGTGAGTACATCAAAAATTGATATGAAGTACAAATGCTCCCGGAAGTAATTGGGATTATGTGTAAGTTCCAATTCTATATAAATTTTAAGTAGGTGTAGATTAAAATGTTCTACAGTTTAATAAGTTATACTAAAACCTGGAGGCATGAACTCATTTTGTGAAATACCCAACTACTTAGAAAACACATTAATCTCTTCCTTCTTTTTATTTTGTTTTTGCTGTTCTGGGGATTGAACCCAGGGTTTTGTGTATGATAGGAATACATTCTACCATTTTCAACCCCAGCCTATTCTTTTGTAATCTCTTATTGAGACATAAACAAGCAATAGTACCGGATAATTTTACAACTATTAAAAGAAGGGAAAATTGGCTCATTTAGCCTAGTTTCAGGCAAGGTAATCTAAGAATACAAAGCACTATTGAACATCCCTACTTGATGTTTAAGTATATGTGCTGCCTGCCGAAGCGAGCACCCCTACTTGATGTTTTAAAAACTGCCTTACAAGTGAATCATGCAATGTCAAGATTTAAAAATTTATAAAGGTGTTTCCTGACTCTAGAATTACAAAGAAAAGCCAATGCAATTTTTTAAATTTAAAAAAGCAATAGGTTCCTTATTCTGCATAATAATGCAGGTAAGAATAGTAGTTTAATCCACATACCTAGTTTTTGTTGGCTTAGTAAGAATAAGGTAATGTGTTTCCCATTACTATAATATTAATTAAAAATAGATATTGTAGTTATGGGGTAGATTGATTTCTAAGATAGGAAACTAGAAACTTTGTTAGAAATAAAATTAACACTTTATTTTAAGTTATACACTATGAACAGTTTATGTAAACTAAGCTTCTGATAGTAAAAAGAAATATTTTTTTGTATTTTTCATCTTAATTTTGGTTTTACAGGTCAAATCTGGCCCCAAACCACCATTTATTATACTGAGTTTTAAAGATATTCTAATTTAAATCTATTATTTTGTAAGAAAGTTACACATAAAGAAATATTAATATTTGTCATGCTTTTCCTTCACTGTCAGAGCAATATGCTACATATAAAGTCAACATCAGATACCAAAAACCAAAGAAGCTTACGAATATCTGGCATAGAATCAACAACATGTATTACTTTATAGATGTGGTTGGATTTTCCTTAGGCAGTGAGTGTCTGATGAGTGCCAAGGTTTATTCCACTCATAATTGTGAATACTCAAATACATTGGTGTATGGAATCATTATGGCTGAGAGATAAAGCCTTCCATTCAAAATAGAGCAAAAAATATTCAAAAAATTAATCTTTGTTCCTTGAATTAGCTACTTTATTATATTCTTTAAACAACACAAATATTAAATAGTTTTAACTCACCATCTTTGAAAGTAAATGTGTTGATGTGATTTTGTGACTACTTAAGAGCCATTCGTGCATAGGACTACCATATTTGTCATCTATGCTTAGGGTTTCATCCCTGAAGAGTTTATTTTCTTTCTTGAATATTTTATGTAGTTGGGGTATACTATCATAGATTGATTCCTTAGTCATATGATTTAAACTAAAAGAATGAGATGCAGATTACAGTGATGAATTTTTCAACCTGTATTTGTTAGACCACAACTCCTCATTGAAAAGACCAAAATTAATATTGAGTAATAAAGTCCATGATTTGTCAAAATAAGCTCTTTTTTTGTTTGTTTTTTGTTTTTGTACCCGGGATTGAACTCAGGACTTTGCACTTGCGAGGCAGGCAGCAGCACCACTGAACTAAATCCCTGGCCCTAAGCTCATTTTTTTAAGAAAAGAAAGGAACTACTGTTACGTGGGCCTGTACTCATTAATCAATCATTAATTTTCTTTTATCAGCTTCTTCTGCCATACCCCTGTATTCATACAAACAATGATTT